AGGGGAACGCCGTGGACAGGTGAATGCCGTGGACAGGTGAACGCTGTCGACAGGTGACCGCTGTAGACAGGTGAACTCCGTGGACAGGGGAACTCCGTGGACAGGGGAACGCTGTGGACAGGTGAACGCTGTGGACAGGGGACCGCTGTGGACAGGGGAACGCCTGAGGACAGGTGAACACCTGAGGACAGGGGACCGCTGTGGAGAGGTGAACACCTGAGGACAGGGCACCGCTGTGGCAGGTGAACCCCTGAGGACAGGGGAACTCCGTGGACAGGGGAACGCCATGGACAGGTGAACGCCGTGGACAGGGGAACGCCGTGGACAGCTGAATACCGTGGACAGGTGACCGCCGTGGACAGGGGACCGCTGTGGACAGGTGAACGCTGAGGACAGGGGACCGCTGTGGACAGGGGACCGCTGTGGACAGGTGAACGCTGAGGACAGGTGAACACCTGAGGACAGGTGAACACTGTGGACAGGTGAACACTGAGGACAGGTGAACACCTGAGGACAGGTGAACACTGAGGACAGGTGAACACTGTGGACAGGGGACCGCTGTGGACAGGTGAACACTGAGGACAGGTGAACACCTGAGCACAGGTGAACACTGAGGACAGGTGAACACTGAGGACAGGTGAACACTGAGGACAGGTGAACACCTGAGCACAGGTGAACACTGAGGACAGGGGACCGCTGTGGACAGGTGAACACTGAGGACAGGTGAACACCTGAGCACAGGTGAACACTGAGGACAGGTGAACACTGAGCACAGGTGAACACTGAGGACAGGTGAATGCTGAGGACAGGGGAGCGCTGAGGACAGGTGAACACTGAGGACAGGTGAATGCTGAGGACAGGGGAGCGCTGAGGACAGGTGAACACTGAGGACAGGGGAACGCTGTGGACAGGTGAACGCTGAGGACAGGTGAACACTGTGGACAGGTGAACACTGAGGACAGGTGAACACTGAGGACAGGGGAACGCTGAGGACAGGTGAACGCTGAGGACAGGGGAGCGCTGAGGACAGGTGAACACTGAGGACAGGGGAACGCTGAGGACAGGTGAACGCTGAGGACAGGTGAACACTGTGGACAGGTGAACACTGAGGACAGGTGAACACTGAGGACAGGGGAACGCTGAGGACAGGTGAACGCTGAGGACAGGTGAACACTGTGGACAGGTGAATGCCTGAGGACAGGTGAACACTGTGGACAGGTGAACACTGTGGACAGGGGACCGCTGTGGACAGGTGAACACTGAGGACAGGTGAACACTGAGGACAGGGGAACGCTGAGGACAGGTGAACGCTGAGGACAGGTGAACACTGTGGACAGGTGAGCGCTGCGTTCAGCTGTAACTGACGTTTTGTTTTTATTTAAAGGTGAACCAAACCACAAAGTCAACTGCTGACGTTGGGATCGACCAATCACAGAGCTTTTAGTTTTGTCAAGAAACATTAGTGAGAGAAGGCTTCAGCCCCCCCTGCTGGTCAGAGTGAAAACAATTTAAGCTTTTTATTTACTGCATTTGCATTTGATAGGACCGCTAAAAGTGGGCGGGGTTAGATAGGGCGGGGCTAAAGAAGGACTGAGGATCTGAAGGTTTCAGGACGTTGTGGAGGTTTGGTTCCTCTTTAAAGAGAGTTCGTCTACGGTGGCTGAGACAGAACCAAAAGCTCTCAGATTCTCTCTTATTGATCACACTGATAGGAACATACCTTGTAGTTTTTCTGACTGTTACAAATATGAAACGCTGGTAAATTAGAAATGCAGAAAATAGCACCTGTAGATTATGTGTACAAATACCTCAGTGACTGTGGTATTGTAGTATAAAATATGTCGCTGTGTGTATTTCTAGCCAGTTAGGAACTGAACTCTACTGTTTGCTTCTGTTTGGTCTGTCCAGGCCACCGTAGATTTGTGTGTGGCCTACTGGGCTCGACACGATTTCTTTTTTCCAGAGATGTCTGGATGTTTGGAAGCCCCTGTACAGAGAGAGGTAGAACGTGTGGTTTCAGATCAGGTCAAAGGTCAAATTTGATATTTGTTGTGGGGGTCTGTGTCAGTAATTATCTTTAACCCAAATATGTACAGTGCAAACAGACCACCGTCACCATCATCATCACCACCACCATCATCATCATCATCACCACCACCATCATCACCATCACCATCATCACTGCTGATTAAAGTGTAAACAACACTGTTTTACTAAACGCTCACAAACACGACACGTCACTGAACTACACACTGAATCTACTCATAACGCTGCAGAAGGAAGTCAACAGTAACGAGTAGAAAGGGTTAAAAATAAAAAAGATCAAAACTCATCGTCTCTTCAAACTGAAACAGAAGCTTCGTGTTTCTCAGAGTTCGTCTGAAGCCGAAAACTTAAAGGGATGCAGAAGAAGAAGAAGCTGCTCTCTTTGTCTGTGTCCTTCACATCGTGTTCAAAAAAGTTTAATGAAATACAATCAATCGGCTCCGTCCTGAGCGTCTGAGGAAAAAGTCTCCTTTAGTCCCAAAAGAAGAAGAAGAAGAAAAATAACAAGAAGAAGATCAAGAAGGTGAAGAAGAAAACGAAGAAAAAGAAAAAAAGAAGAAAAAAGTAGAAGAAGAAGAAGAACAAGAAGAAGAACAAGATGAAGACAAAGAAGGTGAAGATCAAAAATAAATCAATGAATGACGGGTTATGAACTGGAACTATTTCTTGACAATCTTTCTATCCTGTAACCTTTTTATTTTTCAGTTTTTACACTTAAAACGAGTCGAACCAGAGTTCAGATCCATCCGGACTGTTTGGTCGGGCAGTTATTTTTCATTTAACCAGACGAGGTGTGAAAGGTCGACAGACCATAATAATCCTAAAACAGCAGGTGTAAACGTGAACGTATCCAGATACACAAACATGGTGGTTTATGAGTTTCTGTGGTTTCTGTGGTAAGAAGTGCACCGAACAGCAAGAGACTCCATTTTAGTTTGATTTGAGGAGTTTAACACTGATAATAAACGAGGTTAAAGATGCTCTGTGATGATTTATGAGGGTTCAATCCAGAGACTAGACTAGAAGGGTACAATATCAAAGTATCTCTAAACTAGCTGGCATGCTAACTGCTGAGCTTCAGATTTCTGTTAACCCAAATATAATCTAGCATGCTAGCTTAGCGATGCTAGCATGCTAGCTTAGCGATGCTAGCTGGACTGAAGCAGCCCGAGTTAGTTCTCTTTGTTGTCTGTAGTTTGTGACAGTAAAGTACCTTTCATGTGATTAAGAGTTTTATAAATATTTAAAGAATTACTGTTTATGACATAATAATATAACATATCTACAAAGACAAAATAAAAAGATGTTTTTTCTTGCAGATAAAAAAATTTCAGTTTTCAAAACTCGTAAAAAAGTATTTGAGGAAAGAGAGAAATATTTTTGTGGCAGTTACATTTATGGTCATATTAGGCCCTAAAAAGGCCGTTTTCTTTTGAGCGTTTGGTTGTTTTTCTTACCACAGCAACCGCTAACCAGGAACCGCTAACCAGCAACCGCTAACCAGCAACCGCTAACCAGCAACCGCTTCTAAGTCCTGATGTGGAACAAAAGCTTTTCTTTCTTCATATCCTGAATCATCCCAAACCTCCGTTCTGAAACCAGTAAAAACAGAAAAAATATCCAACAAACCCTCAGTGGGTACGTAGCATGTTAGCATGTTAGCGTAGCAGCAGAGCTACAGAAATGGAGGTTAAATGTTAAATGTTAGATGATGCAGATATTTTAGGTTAATTTGGTCCCATTAAATGATTTTAGATGTTTGTAAAGATGGAAGGCTGAATATTTGAGTGGTTGTGTGTCTGTCCTGTCTGCCAGCTGATCACTGGCAGTGGGCAGTCTTACTGGCGGACCCCGCCCCCGGCGTGAAGCCGTTGCTGAGGCTGCTGGGACTTGGAGGCGTGGGTGGGGCCTCGACCCTGGAGGCGGGCTCTACCATGGAGCAGCTCTTCTGCGGCATTCGTGGCTTCACCGGCTTGATTTTGGGGACGACGGACGCCTGTCGCAGCCCGTCGGCCCGCAGCGGCGGTCTGGTGGGGGCGGAGCCTGTGGGCATGACATCAGAGTTGGGCGGTTTGGGGCTGTGAGGAGGGGAGGGGCTGAGGGCACTTTGGTCGGCGGGCTTTGATTCGTCTTCGTGTGGCGACTGTTGATCTGGGGGTGGGGCTTCTTCTTTGTCCTCAGGGGTGGGGCTTGTCGACTCAGGAGGCGGGTCCTGCTGCATGCTGCTCTGCCTCGAAGTCCCCGAGCCTGGAATCTCACAGCTGTCGGTGCGACGCCGCGAACCCTCGTTCATCCGACTGGTAGCCACGACGGCCTTCATGGCAGCCTGTCAACACATTTTAGCCTGTTAGCAATTGGTCGATGTACTGCTCACTGAGAACACTAAAGAAGATCCTGATGATTTCAGATCTTCACACTCAAAACACTAACTGAGGAGGATCCTGACTGCTCATCAATAGGAGACCACACATCAACAACTCTTTACAGGGAGATTCGTAAAGAGTTTGATCAGCCCTTTGAGCTCCTGTTCCTCTCAAAAGGTCTTCTCTAAGACGCCGTCCTCACCTTTAGTTTACGACGAGCGTTGAACTCCTGTAGCTTCCTCTGGGCGTTGTCCATGTGGGAGAAGCGGGCGGCTTTGCCCAGGACCCAGGGGTGCTGCAAGGCCTCCCGGACACTGAGGCGCTTGTGAGGGTCGAGGACGATCAGCTTACTGACCTGCAGACAGATGAACAGGGTCAGGATGAACAGGGTCAGGACGAACAGGGTCAAGACAAACAGGGTCAAGACAAACAGGGTCAGGACAAACAGGGTCAGGATAAACAGGGTCAGGACAAGTCCAGGACAAGTATTATGTCATTTGAGAACTCAAAGTTATTCCAGAGGTCCAAGCCACTTAAGAAAAAGTCTAAGTCAAGTCGGAAATGATAAAAGAATGTTTCTTAAGCCCAGTCCAGGTTTACAGCACATTCCAGACAAAAGAAGTACAAGTCAAGTCTTTTGAGACATGTTTAAGTGCAGAACAAGTCTAAGTTATTCAAGAAAAAAAAACATTCAAGCAAGACTTGATACATGGTACTTGTTTAATTTATAAGAGATTTGAGTGCTTCATGTCAGGATGTCCTTAGGATCAGAGGAACTCACCAGATCCTTGGCATTGAGGGAGACATCGTCCCACCACGGAGACACAAACTCGTAGTCGCAGTTGAGGATTCGACTGTACATGTACTGATCCCCCCTCGGGTCAAAGAAGGGCTCGAACCCACAGAGTCTGGGGAACAGGACGCAGGAGATGGTACAAGTACTCATAGTTCATAATGAGGCTGTAATTCAAGAGGTTAGCTCGTGGCTAAAACACTTAAAACAAAAACAAACATTACTAGACTTAGTCTTTTTAGATTAGTCAATTAGAGAATAACCTCTATAGCTTAATGACTTTAAAAACCATCAAACCCATTTAAAGGCACCACTATCACAGTAACAGATAAACAGGAAGCAGTGTTTGACATGATGTCATCGCTGTTATGAGACAGACGGAGGACCATAAAAGTTAGATGTGAAACACTGACAGGAGTGAGTCAACACTCAATCCCTTCATGGGACTGGTAGGAGGTGTGAATGGACTCACAGGATGTAGAGGATGACGCCCACCGACCACATGTCCACCTCAGGGCCGTAAGCGTTTCCCCGCAGGATCTCTGGAGCTGCAGGCAGAGGAGCCCGTTAGCCAACAGATGGCTGACAGAAGGTCTAACTGAGAGTATTGTGATACACCACAGAGCAGCATCTGCAATGAACGCACCGCTGCTCGCTGACAGACATCAGAGCAACGCAGGTCATTAAACACACCTACAACTGACAATATACCATCTACTAATGTTACTACAACATGTACTACTGTTACTACATCATCTACTACTACACCATCTACTAATGTTACTACAACATGTAGTACTGTTACTACATCATCTACTACTACACCATCTACTAATGTTACTACAACATGTACTACT